TTAAACCCTCTGGAAATAATAAATAAATACATTTAAACATCTTGGTACCAATTAAGTTTGGACTGTTTTAATTTATTATTTTGGTACCCACTGTATTAAATTTTTCGTTTTAAAATGTTACCTACTCATTATTTTCGTTTTGTTTTAAATATCTATAATTTAACGATTACAGAACGTTATTTTTAAAAACAATTTTTTTTTATTGTTCCTTAATCTTCAATCCTTTTTGAATAACCGTAATCGTTGCATCACGAAGTATTTGTATTTATATTCTAATTACTAATGTAACCGTTATAATAAATAATAAATAAGGTAATGTTGTATATAAAAAAATGCTAATCCTATCCATTCTCCATAAGATTCTTATAAGCATACAAGTCAAATTTTAAACTGTCACGTCTAACAAGGCCTCAAAAAGAAAAAAAAAACACTTGGTCATTACTGAAATTAAAAAGGTTCAGCTCGTTTTCCTTTAAAGTTAGAAAATCCTAATAGCTTACTAAAAGATAATTTAAGAGGGAGAAAATCAAGAATTCATTATTCACGAACCTATTCGAGGTTAAACCCAGACTGATTCCTCTTCATTATTTGTATTACATAATCTTATAAGAATAAAGGTAAAACTGAGCATAGCAAAGAAACAATATATCTATTATACAACATGGGTTTATGTCTTTCTTATTATTCAAGCAAGTTTCTCTCACACACACAATCTTAAAATTCACCTTAAAAGTGCACGTTAAATGCATAAATGCATAGAAATGCATTTCCAGGCGAACGGGATAGTGGAAGAATTTCACCGTAAACGGCCAACTATTTTGAAGAGTACCTATATACGTGGAAATGAATGAAAGAAAATAAAAGGTACGAGTTGGAACGGTTCCCATTTTCTCCAACTAAAATCCGAATAAATCCAGCAACTCCGTCTTTAAAACTATGGAAAATTCAGTGTTGAAAGCAAACATTTAATCAAACGAAAGGCATGAATGTAAAATGTAGTGCAAACGTTTCTCCGCTTATCCGAACGTCTTATAAACAAAAAAAAACGCTGCTTCCCAGTCTTACAAATATAAAAAGGAAAGTACAATCCTAAATTTTACACTTTTCCTTTCAAATTGCGGGTACATCGAAATTAAGTAATATCCTAATATCTGATAAGTAGGGGATAGGTATTCTTCCAACTGCTTATCGAGAATTTCATGGTAATCCATTGCAATTGAATATTACCTCCCATGTTTAGTTAAAAAAATGTAGGAGTTTAAATTTCCTAATATTCTTAAATAGTTCTGATATCGTAGGCACTCTAGCATTAAACGTTAATTAATTAATTAACTTATTAATTTCTTTTCACCCAACTCATCATAAGGTCGTCAATCCTAAGACTGACTGGACACGCACCTCCACTCTTTCCTATCCTGAGCTAATCTTCGCATTTCCCTAAAACTAGAACAACCCACATCCATAACTATTTGCGAACAGTAATTTAATCTAGGCCTACTTCTACCCCTCCTAACTCCCGTTTCTGCCTCTAATATGTCTCTGACCAGACCTTCGTGCCTAAGAAGGTGTCCCCCCAACCTATCTCGCCTGTTTCTTATTGACTTCCACAGAGTTCTCTGTTCTTCTATTCTTTCTAATACCTCTTCATTTCTAACCTTCCCTATCGAACGCTTCTAACTTTTCTTTTCTGCCACACCCACTGTCCATGTTTCGCACCCGTACAACGCCGCGGGCTAAACACTTTTAACAATCTTTTTCGAATTTCTAAATTAACCGTTCATGAGCATAGAAGTGAATTCCTTTTATCGAAAGCGACTCGACTCTGCGCTTTACATCCCTACTACTCCTTCCGTCCTGACTTATCTGACTTCCTAGATACCTAAAGTCGACCACTTTTTGTAATTTTTCGTCGACTTTTACATCTAAAAAAGTGGGTCTCTCCTTACTTTTGTTATTGTATCGAGGGAGGTGTCAAATAAAGTAGGAGACAATTCGGACTTAATAAATATAAATATAGTAGAAAAAATTAAAATAAGGCAAGCCACAGAAAAACAATTTTACTGTATTTCAGCATTTGTGAATACTAGTAGCGCTATCTATCGGCAGTTCTCACCACCCTACCTGCTTCGTATTTCTATTCAACATAAAACATTAAACAGAATTTACTTTATCCTATTCTGTATCGGTACTCAACAATTGTTATACCGTGAATGTACTACAGTAGATTACTCACACTGTTATGTCGCTTTTCTCTTGATTATTGTCTCATCAAAGTTTAAAACAAAAAGTTTACAATAATCTCAAAAGTTTAAAAAACTGTAACATAATACAATAAATTAAAAAGTAAGAAGCAAGTTAGGTGCTGCTTTTGATATGTTACATATTGCTGTTTATTTAGTTCTATTGAAATTTTTTGTCAATTACGTATAAAAGGTGCCATCAATCAAGTAGAATAAAGAATATGCGAATGTTAATATCAAGCCAACTGATTTTCCTTTCGAACGATTACAAATTCTGTGTAAAACTTGATAAAATAATGAAAGCCCATCAAGATATTTCATGTTTTTTTGTAGTTATTTTTATTTCATGTCCTAGCCCCCCCCCCTCCCCCTGACAGACTACAGTTTTGTCCCAACTCACGTATTCGGAAATTCGATTCAGTAAATTTTTGAATATAATTGCTTTAAAGATAAAAATAGAATGTGTACCATTTTAGCATCTGTATTTAAGCAAACCATTTTTAAAGAATTTAGTCACCAAGGTTTCCATGAATTTTTCCATATGCCATAGTGTAAAATAGTGCCAAAATTGTACTCTCAGTGTCCTTAAAAAGAAACTTCAAAAAACGCATTAAAGGTCGTGAGATTTATTTATCAAGGATGTCAATTTTTCCAAAATTGTTAAAGTTCAAATAACTCGAAAACCGTTGGACTTTCTACTAACATAAAATCAATTTTTTTTGAGTCCACATACGAAGTTGAACTGTTATCCACTGTTCACCGATCATCCTGTATGTACATATTTGTTCGTTCGTTTATTAACTGGAGAAACCGAGCTTTTTCATTATTGAGGGATTTCGCACTGCTGTTTGTTTTTTGTGAACAATTGAAGCAATTTCTTGAACGTCATTACTAAGTTTCAAGTAATTGCGAGTGCCACAAAATGGGGGTATATACAGCAACATATCAAAACTACATTATTAAAGGCGACAAATTGGATTTCAACGAACTTGTACGAAGTACCTACGACCGTATATAAAGAAAGATAACCCCACGAACTTCTAATAAACTTCCACTAGCTTAACGAAGTTGCAAAGTGTAAGCGATGAAATATCTAATTGCTTTTCGCAAAACTTGCATTACCCTTCAAACAGTGCAATGATAATTACTCTGCTGTTTTAATTTAGTTATAACTTGGAAGCTTGGAAGCCTGTACCACTGGTTTATGGGACGTGAATTAACGAAAACGTAATCCCTTCCACCGTATTTATGTATGAGGTGTTTTACGGGTAACAGAGGAGAAAAGGATAGAAAAAGGAATGAGCGCGTACGTAGAATTCGTAGTTTAGAAAAAGCTTTTAACAAAGTTCAACGGGACAAGATGTAAAATATAGTTAAAAATGTAAGAATAGAAGTGTGGCAGTAACATAGAGAAGTAGATATTAATTAGGAAGGGAGTCAAACAAGGATTCACACTGTCACCGCTCTTTTTTAATCATTACTATATAGAAGATGGGATAAACATGATTAAAGATAGGACAACTTTAGGGCAAAAGATTAGTATGCTAGAAGAAAAAGTAGGAAATGAATGAATATAAAAATAGGAGACGAAAAATTAGAAGAAGTGGTTGATTTTCTCTGGCAGGTCAGATAACTCACGATGAAAAGAGCAGTAGAGCACTTTAATGCTCGCGAACAATCAATTTAGAAATTTAAAAAAGATTGTTAAAGGTATACGTCGGGAACATGGCTCTGTACGGATGCAAAACTTGGATTGTGGAGGTGGCGGAAAATAAAAGGCTAGAAACGTTCAAATGTGGTGTTACAGAAATGAAGAGGTGTCAGAAAAATAGCAGGATAATAGAGAACGCTATGGAAGTAAATAAGGAATAGGCGAGATAGATTGGTAGGACACCTTTTTAGGCATGAAGGGCTGGTTAGAGACATAAACCAAGCCCATTCTTGCTTATAATACTTTCACGTAGGTCCCTATCAACAATGATGAATCATTTAGAAATTATTTTTAAATGAATAGGTATCAGTAAGGTGTGATAGGCATTTTTACAGTCGTATTTGCATTTATCTATCCATAGAATTCCATCCTAAGCTTCTTATTAGTAACCACAGCTAATAATACATTCATAAGTGAATACGCAACATAATTGTCCCAAATTGGATGATGCCATAAATTGTAAGCAGTGATCAGTGAGATTTACTAATTAGTACCAACCACAATAGCTGCCTTGTTAGTGCTACAGTTGATGTGTGTAGAATTAAACGTTGAAAATTTATGCAGGTTTAGGTGAAGATTTAAACTGTAAGTACCTACAATATTAAACAAAGGTTTAAACTGTACAATAAACTGTTCAATAACATATACTAAGTAATTTTTGGTACGGTTGAGAAGGAATACCAAATTTTGATTAATTGAACACAATATTTGTATGCATCTACATCGCAATCGAACTTAAAATTCAAATACAACTAGCCAACTATGAAAGTAGTGCTTTTCCTGAAATTATTTAAATTCAAATGATTCTCATCAAAATAATTTTTGAACTTTGTATGTATAATGATAAATAATATATAAATGTATCAAATATATAAATGTATCAAAGGAGTATTGGTAAAAATGCGAAATAAACGTTTCATAACATTTCCTCGTTTGACTGTTACTGAATAGGAAAAAGAGTTACCATCTACAATCACATCTCCGTTAATTTTAGTTGTTTATGTTTACTTAATATTGATCTACATTAAATGTTTTTTCTTTTATTTCAGGCTAGATTGCAAGCTTATGACAAATTGTTACAAAAATGTCCAAGTTGGCGTTAATGCAAGTAAGTGAATCTTAATTATTAAATTATTAGTATTAACTAAAGAAAATCCTTCGAGAAATTGCGTTTAAATGTACAAAAACACAAAATGAATTTAAATGGTACTTTCATTCCAATGTGTTACAATTCAAATTACCCATTATCCCCCTATATAGGGTCAAAATTTAATTATTAACATTCTCCAGACAAATCATTTGAACGGAATCAAAAAACATTTAAATATCGGCGCTCTAATTTTTTTCGATTGAACACAAATTTCACATGACTCCATTTAAACGAAACCTTATTTTTTCTATTTTCGAACACTCTATACAGTAAATCAAATTTTGATAAAACAGACAATCTTATGTTAAACTAGAGAACAAGTTTTGACTGAAAATTTTTTCTGTTAAACATACAGTTTGGCCGTAATGAGCATCTTGTGTACTTTTTGGGCTATTTGACTAAGAAAAAAACATTTGAATATCGGTGAGTGAGAGTTTTGGCATAGCCCCATATTTTAATATCCTGAACAACTTTGCCAGTTAAACTAACCCTTAATTTTTCTATTTTCGAACACTCTATATAGTAAATGAAATTTGGATAAAATAGACGACCTTATATTAAAATAGGTAACCAGTTTTGATTGAAAATTTTTTCGGTTAAATTTACAGTTTGATAATGATGAGCATATTGCGTACTTTTTGGGGCACCCTGTATAAGCACAGAATGTGATAAACAAAATAAATGGGCCATATTAAAATCATATAACTTATTGGATCCATACATCACATTAAATTATTTCAACTCGATTGAAAAACAATGTTCCCTTCCTCCCTTTGGTGTATGATATTGACAATTAATCGAATGTAAACAATGAAACATCATCGTTCAAAAGTTGGTTTATCCGCAGTAACCTGGCTTTCCACGCAGTGGTGTGTGCGAGTGTGAATTGGTAAACTTTCGGCCTCATTTTTTCGGTTTTTTTTTATGATGACTTTAGAACTTATATGATAGCTTTAGAACTTTAGATGGCTGACTGATTTTGAACTTGTTGACCATAAATCGTTGTGTAGGTGGATTCTCGTCTTCGGTCCAATCGTCCAATTTTTTTTAGGTCAGACGAGAATTTACGTGGTCGATCTTCAATGTTCGGATCTATTCTTTCGTGTAGTAAAAAAACCGGATATAAATTTGACCGGAAATAAACGAGAAAGGCCGGAAGATATATCAAGTGTTCGTGGAGTTTTTCAAGTAGCGCGGAATCAACCAAGAAATATGGCAATTTTTATTTTTATGTTATAGTAATTTGTAAATTTCGGTTCACTTCTTTATTCTTACATTCTTAATAAATAATAACAACGTTGAGTAATTTCACCTTGCACTTCTTTCTTTTATCCTTAATCATACAGTTAACAATCAATAACTACTTTTAATAACATGACTTCCACAAATTTTATACGAGCAAAACAGGAAATCGGAATAGGAGGTTGATTTTGCTTTCCATATACATACTGCACCAAAAAGATATAACCTAGAAAAACCGGGAATTCTTTTTCCTGCCGCTACCCGCCCTGATTAAATTATTTATCAATTACACGTTAAAGAGGGTATTGTTTTGATCAATTTGATATTATTTAATGTCAGACAGGGTTACAAACATCAAATAATATTTAATAAGAGTACTTCAAAAATCTGCATGAACTCAAGTATCATTTTAACGAATGGAACAAAAGTTATATTATTATAAACATTTTAATATTACTTATTTTCTTTGCAATATTAGAATTTATTAAGAAGAACTGTCTCTATATATTACCTATGACATTAGTACATACGAAATTATGCTCTGTTTTACTTTTGAAATAGACTTATGTTTATAAGTAGTAAATTCTAATACTGAAACTTTTAAAAGAGAATTTTTACTAGTAATTGAATTTTAATTCACAAAAAAATAAAATGATTTACTTGAAGTCGTAGGTACTTTGTTCAATTCGAACAGTTCAAAATGGTAAGTTAAATGTTAAATTTAAAAGTTTACCTATTGTATTAAGCGTTTTATTTAGGCCACTAATATGCGTTTAAATTTTATTAGATAATGAAAAACCATTAACACATTTTTTACTATTAATTGGATTTAATAAATTACAGATTTTTGTGTGCTATCATTCATTCGTTTGTGTAATGTTTGTTATAAAACGTGCAAAACAAGTTTTATACAATAATTAAAGTTATCACAACCTTTGATAAATACTCTGTAACAATTTTAATCGTCGAAGTGAAACTAAAACCGAAGCAACGTTAAAACTTTTAATTCTCAAATGTCAAAACACACAGGAATGTATTTCAACTGCACCCGTAATGAGAACGTACAAGGATGCATGTGGGATTTTCGGAGGCAATTGATTGTATTCCAACAATATCTATTTTTAGGAATACAAGAATATCTGTTAAATTCTTCTATAGCGGCCTTGGTGACAAAGCAATTTAATTGACTGCTGTAACTGTTTCACCACACTGTGACTTCTTCAGGTGGAAGAATAGTAATCAAACTTGTAACTTGAACGATAGTTCATGTGGATGAGAAAATTGTTTATTAAAATCATAAAACACTTTAATATAATGACAACTTTTTGATAAAGCAATGTTTTCTCCTCGTGTGAAATCGAATAAAAAGTATGTAAAAAGCTGTAACAACACATTCAACGAAGATTTTCAACTGTACTTCCATTATTTCCCGATAAAATTTGTATATTGTACAGAAAAATTATATGCGGAAAATTGAAGCAAAAAAGTGAACAAGAAGCTCGGATAAAGGCAACAGGTACCAAAGAAATAAATTCCGAAATGATAATTTGTTTACATCTATAACTATTTTGAAGTTTGAAATCTACCTGTTGCAAAATGGTTACCACTGCATGTACACGGCATGTCATCGATATAATATTGTCACTTATATTAATTAATTGCATTTAGATCATCTTTTAAATCTAATGTTGGTAATAAAACTCATATCTGTAGGTCCACTTTAGGATTTCCATTTTACAGGATTTTATAATATGTGGCGGCCCAATCACATATTGTAGCAATCTGACTATTTTTTTTATCATTTTTATTAATCCACTATTATAGCATAAGCTAAAAGGAATTCGAAAAATTTTGCCTCAGCAGCGCTATTTTTTTTTTTGTTTTTGGACTCTTCTCTTTTAACGAATCCTAATAACATCAGAATTAAATTTTTAATATTTTATTCATGCTTCCCACTTTTCTGATTTCTATTTTTGGAAGGTATCCTCAAATTATCTTTACTTGTGCATTTATAGGACGTAATTTAAATACAGTCCGAGATATGAACTGAAATCTGGATTGGGAAAATATTGAATTATTCATTGAATTAGTTACGGTTACGTGTTGGTCCACATAGGAATTGACTCCTTTTATAGAAAACCTTTTGTCTGCAGAAACTGCCGCAGAGATAAATATAGTGCAAATTTCCACATCAAAAATTATTTTAAAAAATAAAAGTTGGTTTTGAAGAAGTAAATAACTTTAATCCCCTTTTTGGCTTTGATTTCACACCGAATTTCAAAACATAATACGTAGACAATGCACTTCAAAACATGCTCACCAATCAGGTCACAAAATTCAAAACTTTAATAGTACCTTTTTCAGCCGCAAAGATTTATGGCGCTAGATTGAATTTTTGAACAAATCAAGCATTAGCAGACCTATTTCCCTACGGATTTGCAATTCATCGTGTAATTATGTCATAAGCGAATAGTACTCTGGTTAAAGATATATTTGTTGATAGATTTATGGTAGGTATATAAGTGTAAAGCACAAAAATATATTGCGCCAGCCTTAACCTTATTACAGTTAAGAAGTATGTAGGAATCACAGTCTGTCCTTTCCTTAACATGGATGAAAAATCCTGTTTCAAAAGTAAACTTAAAGAACTAGAAACTACAGTTTGACATTATTTTGCCGATACGCCTACAATTATCGTTTAATCGTTTTTGTATAAATATAAAATTTAATACACATAAACACTGCATGGGACACCATAATAAAGACAATATTAGGTATCTAAATAAACTTGAAAAAATAAACGACTTACCAAAAAGCAGGAACTTCTTTCCCAAGAATTTGACTGGAGCTTTTCTTGGTTAAAAGCACTCCGGTGAACAACATTCCAATTTTACGTTCCGATACATTATGTTCAAATTCCAACCGACAAAAAACTTGTAGTACATTTAATTCGTCTACTGATCCCGAGTAACACGACACATTACAGAAAAGGGTGAGAAACGAGTAAATACAAAAAAAACACTAAAATCGACCATCGCTTAGGATTTGACAGGTGCACGTCGGTGAATTGATATCTGAAACAAAAGAAAAGCAACTGTAGAGATTATAAATGGTTGAAATATTTTACAAAAATAATAATTTTATCATAATTTATATGAAACCCTTTAGATACAACTGCAGTAGGATTAATAAGAATTAGTAGTAGAAGTACATATCTTAAATAAATGTATGACTAAAAAATTGTAAGGGGTGTAATCGAATTAAGCATTAAATATGTTGCATTCAAAAACATTGAAGAATCAAATGATTTATTAAATTGCATAATAATTCAAATGCAAATTACCTACAATATTCGACATAATTTTATTTAGCTATTTGACCTCGATGCAAAATTCGACTGTATTCAAATAGTTGACGTCGATATACAAGTTTTGTAAGTTCATTCTCGATTCTGCACTTGAACAGCATATCAAGCGAATACTTTTAATTAGTATCATTAAGAATTAAATGAAGTGGGATCTTACAATACATTTACATTCGAACACTTTCATCGCTACTAAAAGTAATGTCCAATTGAAAAAATACTTACATCCAATCTTTTGTTATTGCTTCAATGCAATTTTCCAACCGTAACCAATATTTAAAGGATGTACAGCATTTTCTGTTTGTAATTATTTCATGTAATAATGACAATATTTAAATGGGAAGACTGATAT